CCTCATCAAGACGGGACCAAATTATTCAGCTAGTGACATTTACTAAGGGCTAAAGGTTAATGACGATGACTCTTTGCATGTCGTGTATTGTAAACTTTACGGTAGTGGAATCAGATACAGAGGTGTTGTGTAACTTCGACTTCGAAATTGTTTACAGGAGTTGGATTTTTTTTTTTTTTTTTGGAGAAAATTTAGTCCGCCCTCAAGCTTCAAGTGCCCTTCTCTTCCCCTCCTCCCCCTCCCCTCCCCGAGTAGAAAGTCTGAAAGAAACACTGATCTGCTCTACATAAACAAAAAGATCTAGTCTGACAACACTGAGAAATTTTCTTAAATTTCATGATTGATGATGTGTAGGCCCGGATAGCTCAGTCGGTAGAGCATGAGACTCTTAATCTCAGGGTCGTGGGTTCGAGCCCCACGTTGGGCGATTAATTTTTTATTTTTACATCATATAGATGTCTAACGAATCTAGGTGCACATAGATAAAACGGGAAAACCGATTAAATTCAACTTTAATTGAGCTTAACTCATTTCATAATGACCTCAATACGTTACTCCAACATTTGAAATGACTTTGTAATCGCGTCCCTTGCTAGACGTCGCTTACTCTCACAACAAAACATGTAAGTAAAAAAACTACCAGTCTATCACTACCCCCCCCCCCCCCCTTTTTTTTTTCTTCCAGTCTTATTCCCCCAAGACAAAAAAAACGGAAGTGATCTCATTAATATTTTTAGTCGCAGATGCGCCGTTTCCCGTCGTCTGCTGTTCGTGCGTTCATTTCCTTGTTCAAGTGTTAATTAAAAGAAATAGTTGTCAAAAATTCTGACACGGGCCGGCATCTCTGATGAACTGATGGTATGATTAGTAGAACCCACTGGTGATGGTCGCTTCTTGACGCGAAAAAATTATTAGGAATGGAAATAACAAATGGGCGAAGTTACTTTTTCACGTTCACAACAGTTCATGTACAACCATATTTCTTTTGTTGTGAGATTCTTTGACTATTTCATATATACATATACTTAACTAGATTTCTAACGTTATACTCTTCCATACGAATAAAGTAGCTGTTTAAAGTTTGACGTATGAACTAGTTTAAAAGTCTAACTATTCCATACATAATATCCAGTTGTCTACAGTTTGACTATTTCATACCTAATGAAATAGATGTCTGAAGCTTGACTACTTCATATTTTTTAAATTGTTTTTTTTTTCACTTTTGACTATAAACAACTACAGTAACAACAACAACAACAACAAATAGATATAGCCACAACAACAACTAAAATAATTTAAATTGATAGTCGACTTCACGTTGGTACTTCTGTCGGTTTTTTTTAAATATTTTTTTGGTCTACACTAAGCCTAATCCCGAGCTTAAGCCTGACCATACATTAAGCGCGGTTTGTATGACTATTCAAGTCTTGGAATTGCTACAAAATAATATTTTGCCTTTAATTTGGTCATATTTATAATATGGCTGACTCTAATTTGGTCATATTTACATTGTGGCCGCCTCTACTTTTGTCATATTTAAATGGTGGTGCGTCTACTTTTGTCATATTTACATTTTGGTGATTCTTATTTGGTCGTATTTACATTTTGGTGCATCTAATTTGGTCATATTTACATTATGGTGCATCTAATTTGGTCATATTTACTTTACCATTGCTCTAATTTGGTCATATTTACATTACCATTGCTCTAATTTGGTCATATTTACATTATGGTGCATCTAATTTGGTCATATTTACATTATGGCTATATCTAATTCGACCACTCCCTAGCAGGAACAAAAACCAACAAATTAACGTCACGGACAATTAACCACCCTCGCCCCACCTCACGGCCTGCTATTATTTCTAACACCCACCAAAAACTGGCCCGTGTTTTCATTAGCTTTCTTCCATAACGTTGATCTTGGGCTATTTGCCGGGTGGGCGTTTAATTTTTTTACCTTCAGGGATCAATGTCGGCGTTATGATGGAGAGGCTGTCCGGGACAGTTGTGGAATGCGCGTTATAGGAAGCTTGTTGTTATCCCATTACGGCTAATTTAGCCATGAAACTGGCTCTGTTTAATATTAACGGGAGATGTTAATTAGAAGTAGATTGATTTGATGACGTCATGGTGTCTCTTTTCAATGAAAGTTAATATGTCAGGGAGTAGGTAATTGAGAGTTTCTGGAATTTCTCTGGCGAATTTTGTTACAAGTTTTTGAAATGTGGAGGCCTGGAACTTTTCAAGACTTTATAATTTACAACGTTAAAAATAAACTTGAACAGAATGTAAACAACTTATTATTAATCACTTTTTTTTTAATTATCACATTTTATAAAAGTATGTTCGACCCTGTCACAATGCGGGTTTAGCGTCTAATGCCGGTTGCCATTCAACAGCCAATGAGAAGCTACAACTTGGGTAAAAATGATACTGTCATTATAAAGTTAATATTTTAAAGGTCTTTTGAATTTAGTTTGTAGAACAAACGTATCAGTGAATGAAATGTTTATATAAAGGTCATTTACGTTTAGTTTCTACGAGATTTCTAACGCTTTCTCAATAAATGATTTTTAGTTGCTTTATTTTTTGTTAATTTATAAAACCCGCGTTGCAGATGGAATAGAAGAACTAACAGAAGGGGAAATGTTGTCTAACTTTTAGAGTTTAGAGCAAGACGTCTTTGTACAGTCAGGTGATGTGCAGGTTTTGGTTCAAAACAAAAACAATCTTTTATTGTAATTTTATAACTAAAATATTTTTCATATTCGACTGTTAATGATCAATGAGGTGGATTACGGGCTAATGGTATTAAATTAAACTTAATTCAGAAGTTCAAACAATTAGACTATCTCAACTAATTCCATTGTTCTGCTTTAACTTAACCCTTTATGTACGTGATGATAAACGCCCATATAACTTAACCCTTTATGTCCGTGGTGGTAAACAACTGAACCAATGTTGACTTAGCATTCTTTCTAAAATACTTTATGTGAAAATAACGGACACTTTTTTTTAAAGTTTAAAACAACCTTTGTATTTATCCAACATTTGATGTCTACAACACAGCCATAACATAGTCATAGAAACAGTTCACTGTCGTTTGAGTTTTGTCTTGTTAGGCGAAGACGGAGAAATGTTTAATGTAAAAATTGAAATAAGAGTTTGGTTTAGTGTTAGGGTCTGGTAGAGTTAAGGTAATGTTTTGATTTCGATGATTACACGATACAAGTCATATCTCAGCCTGTAGATAACAGAACATGTCAGATGGAGGTTCGAAACCCACATCACCACTGGGCGGATCTTGTTGACAAAGTTGCATCAACTGGATGAGATGATGTCCTAAAACAAATGACGTGGAGTTTCTTTATGCGAAGAACCTAGATTTAGTATTAAGTTTTCTGTTCGTGTTTACATTCATACTCTCAAACAATATAATCTTTTGGATGTAATCGTGGATGGAGATTTTCAAAGCCCTTAAAACACGAGGGACATTTGGTTTAGGGCCCAAAATGTAGGCCCCACCTTTCGCAAAAAAAATAAAATGATACCGTATTGTGTCAGTGTTTCTCTGACAATAAAACTGTTAGTTTTTTGTAATAGATACTCGCTTATGGCAGTGGCGTCACGAGGTGTGTGCAAGGGGTGCTGGCTGAACCAGGTAGCACCAGCCTAGGGGGTGACACCTACACGGAAAAAAGCTATTATAAATAGAAGTTTTGATTTTATCATTTAGTTTAATAACAGTCAAGGGGGTGACATCTAAGCGAAAATTAAGCTATTTTAAATAGAAATTTTGATTTTACCATTTAGTTTTAACAACTTTAAAAAAAGATTTAATTGATTAGGATCAGGGTGACACCATCGGAAACGGAGATGACGTCATCGCCATCAGCTTAAGTACATCAGATGCTAGTCATTGGTTACTTTAGTGGTAAGGTTAATATTAGAGTTATTAGGATTATAGGTTTATATGGTAAGGTTAATATTAGAGTTATTAGGATTATAGGTTTATATGAAGGTGTTGTAATTAGACTTTCAGGTATAGTTTTTAAATCATTCATATGGTATGGTTAATCGATAAAAAGTTTTGGTTTTGCATTTCTTGTGGAAGTTGTCTGAAGGGCAATGTCCTAAACTTGAAGTTTTTTAAAATAACGAACAGACGTAGCGGCACCACGTGGTGTTATGAGAAAGTGTTTCTTTCAGAATTTTTGCTTGGGAGGGGGGTGGGGAAGACAGGGACATTGCTAAAAGTATATATTGTTTATTTAGGTGGTGTGTGTGTGGGGGGGGGGGAGGGGGGGGGGGTGACGTGCTTCGGGGGGGGGGGGGGGGGGGCTGTGAAATTAACACTGGCTATGAGGGTCCGGTATGTCCCAGGTTTACACCGTGAGTTTCAGCCCTCTGGCTCAAGTTGGAAGATCTCACGTGGTGGGACACGACTTCCTCCTCCACCACCCTCCACCCTGCCCGGCCGTCTCAGCCCGGCCACGGGTCGAGGCACGGACTGGGTTCCGAAGACGTCTGGCACCTCTTTAAGCAGAGACACGATAGGAGTTCTTCCCCTTGGCCCCACCCACAAGCCCGACGGTTGGTTCCCTGATCCCCGTCCCTCACCCCCCGACCCCCCACACCACGTTTGTTTGTACTCGCTTATTTACTTCTACCTTCCCGGCAGCCCCTGTGCGTTTTCTGTATCAATTACAGCTCACACTCAAGTGGCACCGGGCACGCTGGAACCGCCGCCCCCCACGCCCGACCTCATCGGTGATTGGTCTGTGGTTCACGTGACAGGCCTCGTCCCGGGAGTCGGGGGGCGTCGGCTTATCGCGTGCAGCCGTTTCAGCATCTCCCATTGGTCGGCGGCTCGAGCTCCGCGGTGGCCGTTACCTCGTGGGACTGGTTGTCTCCAGGGTAGGGAGGGGATTGGCGGGGAGTGAGGAAAGCAACAAAAGACGTACCCGAGAGAGTTTCTCCCACAGTCCCATGTCCGTGTCTCAGTGTGCCCAGCGAGGGGAGTTTAGCAGGCCATAGGAGATAGGAGATTTGGCCAGCTACTGGAGCCCATAGGAAAAAGGACGCTATCAACACCCCAGTGAGAGAAATTTAACATGTTTTCTAATCACCGCTCCGCTCCTGGCTTTCGTGTGTGTGCAGTTTTCTTTTGATGTGATTTGGAGACCAAGTTTTTTTTAATTGTACAAACCGCATTTTGTCATCCGTAACGGCTAGTCACATGCATAAGTTTAAACTTTGACAGTTAAAATAACAGTGTCACTCTTAGGTCATGTAGCTTTGTTATTGTCGCTGTATGTCATGTACCATCCTACTTGCCGCAGTAGGTCATGTACCATCCTAATTGCCGCCGTAGGTCAGATACCATTCTACTTGCCGCAGTAGGTCATATACTATCTTACATGCCGCCGATAGGTCTTATACCATCCTTCTTACTGTTGTTTCAAGTTGTATTTTAATTGCCACTATTAGGTCATGTAGCTTCCTTCTTGCCGCCGATAGGTCAAGAACCTTCTTGTCACTGATAGGTCATCTATTTTTCTTTACGCTGCCATAGGTCATGTAACATCCTTATTGCCGACAACATAAGAAGCAGCATCATACTTGCCGTCACTAAGTCAAGTAGTATTTTTCTTGCCGTTGTTTCATGTCGTATTTTAATGATCAATTATAGAAGATATGATATCTTTATTACCGATGAAGTGTTTTTTTTTTTTAAGAATCCATGTTGCGCTAATATTTCAAACAGCATCGATATTGCCTTTAATGAGTAATGTAGCATTCTTGTTACAAGCTCATATTTTAGTTCCCGATTCTATTATTAATTAAATTAATTATCCTTAACGACTGATTTCAAAGCCGATAACTTGAATCAAAGAAAATATTTTCACAAAAATGTAAAAAGGATCAAATTTTTCTATTGAACATAACAAAACACCATCAAGCACCAACCTGTACAAAATATGTAATTATAAAACTCTATCAAAGACAGCGACTGTGATTTGTAACAATATAAGTCTACACAATATCTCTTCGACATTTTAACTCACCGCAGAGGTCTAGAAAACAACTATTAAAATAACAGTAAACATTTTTTGTATTGTTATTAGTTATATTTTGAATAGTTCCAATCAACGTAAGGCTATTTTTTTCACTGCATAAAGGCGGATGTATTGGTTTATTTAGCAGCATCGTTAATTAATGAATTAATTAAAGAGTGATTTTTTTTTTAAAGTGTCATTGTGATTCGAGTCAAATGATCGCTAGAAACCCCGCAGTCTATCGATGTCCATTGACCCGGCCCGATCATGCGTGACGGTGTGACTAGAGCGCACGGGAGAAATGAAACAGAAACCCTCGTGAAACGACCCCCGGGCACTCCCCCACTCCCCGGACCGCATTAAGTAATCTCCGTTAACCCCCGCGTCGACACGGATACTTGGGAGGTTAGGATTAGTTGTTGAGAGGGATTGTGAGCTGGTGGTTTAGGGTTAACGGTAGGTTTATTGGATGTTAGGGTTAACTGTATTTTTATTGGATGTTAGGATTATCAGTAGCTTTGTTGGATGTTAGGGTTAGTAGTAGATTTCTTGGATATTAGGGTAATTAGTAGGTTTGTTGGATGTTAGCGTTGCAGTAGGTTTTTTGGATGTTTGTTTTGGCAGTAGGTTTATTGGATGTAAGGGTTATCAGTAGGTTTGTTGGATGTAAGGGTTATCAGTAGGTTTATTGGATGTTTGGGTTAGCAGTAGGTTTGTTGGATGTTAGGATTAACGGTAGGTTTGCTGGATGTTAGGGTTAGCACTTAGCAGTAGGTTGCTGGATTTTAATGTTTAGGGTTAACAGTATGTTTAGGGTCAGCAGTAGATTCATTGGATTTTAAAGTTAGAATTAGCTGTAGGTTTTTTTTAATTTTATGGTTAACGGAAGTTTATTAAAATTTAATGCTATAATTGAAGATTTGTTTGATCATTTCAATTTTCTTCGACGGACGGGTATGTAGCTGTCGTTCTAGACTTTTCTTCCCACTTTAGCTGGTTGTATTTATGGACATTTCTTCAGCTGACCTGCGATGTCGTTCTCGACATTTCCTACCTTGAGGCATTTCTTAAGACATTTCTAATTGCTGTTTCTAGAAGTTTCCAATCGCGTATTGAACAGTGTTTCTAGACGTTTCTTTAGCCATCGTATAATTCAAACCTAAACATCTCTTTCAATTTTTTTTCAGTAGATGGCGTTATGTTTGGCTACTCAATATATACTTTTATGCCAACTAAATCGGGAGGTCTGAAAGAGGAACTTTACTTTTTATCAATGGCTACCGTCTGTTAAGGGATTTCAATATGGTTTCGGCATTATTCATAGTCGTTCTATTAAACTGATATCAAATGTGATTTACAGTTTTAAAAATTGACATATAAAACGGTTCTATAAAATTGTACAAGAGATCACACAGTGGTGCCGATATTTTATGTTAAAGTTCTGCATCTATTGAGTTCACACGATTTAGGTACCGTCAGCACTAACACATTTGTAATATTTCTGGTATTTTAAAAATCAGATCTGAATGGTTTGTATTTTGTATTATCCTGCGAACTCAGGCAATTGATAAAATTTCATTCTCAGCTCAAGCTAATCTAAATAAATTTACAAACTTTTTGTGATTATAAATTGCGTGTATGTAGGGCTAAACTTACAGCTAGTGAAACATTATATAGACCTTAACTTACAGTAAATCATAAATGAATAAAACATTCCCAGAATTAAAAATCACATGGTTAGCTAGGTAAATACAAATATCATTTTCAGCCTCTTACTGAAAACGGCAATAAAAGTTTTTAAAAAATTTAATATAGTAAATAAAAATAAAATGATGCCATTAAAGTGTAGGCCTTCTGAAGATAATAAATAGATAACAATAAAAAAAAGCTTTTAGCATTGTTGAAGGTCAAGGTGAGTGTTATAAATAAATTAAATAGACCTTTTTAATAAGAGAGTTGTGACTTGTACAATAATTAGCGGGCATTCAAATTTTGTACAAAGTGAATTTAATTTTCTGCTTTTTAAATGAACCCTCCTTTTATTTTATCAACGGGTAATCTTCACACTTTTAAAGATAATGTTTTAATATGTATTATTATATGGCTCTAACTAGAAGGTATTCTTTTGTAGTTAATATAGCAGTACCAGTGGCGTAGCGAGGTCGGGTGTCACCCGGTGCGGCACTTAATGGTGTCACCCCCCCCCCCCCCCAGAGGCATAGAGACCCTTCTCAGGGACAAACTTTCAAATTTTCGATTTGCACCCTCCTCAAAGTTTCGATTTGGAACCCCCCCTCGAGTTTTTCTCTATATATTTTGCTATTTTTTGCCTTGGTGTCACCCCCCTAAATGGTGTCACCCGGTGCGGTCCGCACCCCCCGCCCCCCCCCCCTCGCTACGCCCCTGAGCAGTACAACTAAAAGTCAAGTAAAAATATGACATGCATCTTGTGGCCTTCACATTGGGTGACGTACTAAACTCACTCTTAAATTCTAGTTAGCTATTTCTCATGAGAGGACTGTATAGGTCTACTAGCACTACATAACAGTCGCTTGTGTCTGTACAACAGAATAGGGTTTAGCAGAGTTTCTTTAGGGCATCTCTTCGGGGGGAAGGGGGGTGGCTCCCCGAATTTTTTTTACCGCCCCCCCCCCCCCCCCCGAACGAAATGAAATTTATATAAAAGAAAGTTTACCCCCCCCCCCCCCCGAAAATTTCAAGTGCCCCCCCCCCCCCCCCCCCCGCCGGAGAAAAAAGTCTGGAAGAAACACTGGGGTTTAGGGATAGGGCCTCAGAATACTTTACCAAATATTACACATTTTTTTGATGTTGTGATTTAAGGATGATGTTGATGTTAAAGATTAAACGCTCCTAAAAACATTAATCAAATACCTGTTTTTAATACGGATATTAATAACTTATTAAAATAAGACCGTATTTTGATAATCGTTGATTATACCAGCGGTCATTAACTAATGTTATCTTAAGCTGGGGTAGTATGACAAGATTAGTTGTGTTTAAATTGCCGTTAGCTAAATCTGAGTCATGTGATGGAGCTTCGAATGCCTGTAAAGGAATTAGAAATGGAAAGTTCTAGATTCACGTTGATAGTTGTATTGTTTCTCACCTTTTAGATCTATAGTTCAATACAATATAGACTTTGTGCTGAAAATCTTGTGATTTGTGTGTAGTTAATGAGTTAATATGGACATTATAACAAACTAGTTACAACTTTGGACAAGCCTACTATGGGAAGAATCTGTGAAAACATTGGATTATACCAAGTTATTTTTCCCTTGTAATAACATTTCACCAAAGTGACAAGATTGAAGAAAAGAACACTATGGTATAACTAGTTTTTTGATTGGTGTTTACAAGTTCAAAGTTCAAGGTCCCGAGGGGTCACTTCTCAAGGTCACTGCTCGATGTTACGTAAGACACTACTCTGAGCCGAGGTCACGCCCGTGACGTCACAGAAATTTTTCCTCACCTCGGATCTCCCTCGGGGATTTTTTAATGTTCGACCTGACGGAAGATCACCACCACCTCCACCACATCCACCACCCACAGCATCCACTGCACCACCCGCAGCACCCCAGCCAGCGCGTCCCCTCCCCCATGAAGGAAGAGGCTCTAAGCGGTCAGCTGTCCAGCATCCGAAACTGGATGCAACCCACTGTTGTGGACCCGGGGTCGGTCAAGTAAGTCCTTACTTTCTCTCATCAAACTTAGACACACATAGTTTTATGCTAATCCTAATCCTAACCCACTGTTGTGTAGCCGGGTTCGGTCAGTTAAGTCGCTTGCTTTCGCCATCAAACTTAAAACCACATAGTTTTAAGCTAATTGCGAATCACTATTCCGAGAGTTTAAGGTTCGAATACCAAACATACCAAAGTTTCGATTATCAAATTTCCGAAAACTAATGAGCCGACTCAGCTTTATTTTGAACCCGGCAACAATTAGAAGTGTCAGTGCGAGTGAGAAAAGTGCTGCTCGCACAACCCTTATTCTATACAATATCATGACAGACGACGTTTAGATTCACTTACCTGTTGTAAATATGTAAATTCTATGTGGGGTTTGTCTAAAGGGCTATAACACAGTTCGTGTATTAACTTAATTATAAGAAAACTTTGCACAGCAATAAATAAATAGTCGAGTTACTATAGACTGTAGTTAAATGATTAAAATTTACAATTGTTATTAGTAAGATAAAAAAAAGCAATCTTTCACGTTTTAAAATAAGCGACATATTCCAATTGGGTGTTGTATTTCAATGCAGTTAGCATGAGAAATAAAACACGACATTCCTTGAACGGGTTATTCTAGATTTTAATATGCTGCAAAACTAATTAATCTAAAGCATATTTTTAAGAATCCTTACTGCTTTTTTGACGTTTGAAACAGAAACTGTTTATTTTTTTTAAAAATAATAACCAAAGCAATTTCTCTAATAGCGTTTTATTACAAGGTTAGATTTTTGAGCTCAACATATTTATGTATAAATGTTAAGTACATTAAAGCTGTTTTCATTGTTCGATATTTAACATAGACGCCTCAATATATGTACTAAATAAGACACATAGGCAATGACCACGTGATGTCACATACTGACTACAAGTCACTGGTATTTAACCACTGACCCATATACTGACCCTGCGACAATAATCACTGAACCGTTGATCCATAAACTGACCATGGAGTGACCCAAAATTCTGAGCGCCAGAAACAATGCAAGGAACCAGCGCCATTAGACGCTGACCCATGACCCATGGACTCTAGACACTGACCACATGACCCAAAAGCGTTATCATGCGACCCCAAATACTGACCCCACAGAAAATACACTAGCCATTAGGTCCCAAACACTCTCAACACAGCGATAACGCCCAACCTAACAAAGCCATCGCCCATATCGATTACATTTAATGAAGTATTTCAACATGTATTTTAATTACAATATAAAACATTCGAAATTCATTCTTACACTCCCTTCCCTCCCCACTCCACTTTAGAATTAAATCTAATGTAGGGCCTACATTTTTCCCACACTAACTTCACTACGAAGGAACATATGCATATGTGTTCACACGTATAAAAAATACAGATAAAACACATATACAACAACAGATACAGATAAACAAATACAGATAACACAACAGACACAACAGCGAATAAAATACAACCACAGACGCATACAACAGCAGATGCACATACAGCAACACACGTATACAACAGATACAGATAAACATTATATATATATATATATACAACAACGATACATATTAACAACAGATACAAATATACAAACACACATACAATGAATGGATACAGATACAACAACAACTATAGATACAACATGTTCAGATTTTATAACTAATACAGATACGACAACAAATATAAAAATAGATACTGATACAACAAAAAATACAACAGATACAACAACAAATACAACAGATGCAGATACAACAAAAATACAAATACAACAGATATAGATACAACAACAAATATAGACAAACACTACAGGCAGATTCCATACGTACACGACATTCCACAGCAGATACAAAAAATTCTCACAGATAATGTAAAAACAGATCTCGGACGTCCCCCTGGGAGAAATCTCTTTCAAGTGAGAGCATATCCAAGTCTCATGTTGCGCCGATCACGTGACAATAGTTCCAAGTTCGTGTTTCATTTCAAAATAAAACGAGCTAGAACTACGGGGTCACAAAATAAAAGTGCCTTGTTAAAATCTAATCTCTCTATTCACGATGTTAAAATTTTAACAGTACAATTTGATGCTGGTTACAAAATATTTAAGGTTTTGTTTTTAAATCTGACTTTAATGATTCAAAACCAAAGTAGGCTAAAAGTATTGGGTATTATATTTTTGAAATCCGTTAAATTATGAGAGAAGTTTTTTTTTCAAAGTGAACATATCAACTTGTCATTAAATGTACAATCTTTGTTTGTTGGAAGACAAATGTAAAGGGTGTATGCTATCACAGAAGTGAAGAATACTACCAAGTCTGAGTATGTTGTATTGACATTTTGCTACATACAACGATGGCGCATATTCTGGCAAAGTCTCTGATGCTGTTACCTCACCCCTCCCTCCCCTTTTCCCATCTTCTTCCAGCTCTTGTTGAGTAGGTAGTCAAGCACCTTCGCTATCTGGTTATCCCTTTTGTTGTAGGATCGAATCCCAATGCTACTCATTAAACGTATAATTTTGTATCTAGGTAAATTATACTATAATCTCCCTGCTCCCAACTAAAGTATACTGTTGTCTCTCTGTCCCAACTAACGTATACTTTTATCTCTCTGCTCCCAACTAACGTATACTTTTATCTCTCTGCCCCCAACTAACGTATACTTCTGTCTCCCTGCCCCCAACTAACGTATACTTTTATCTCTCTGCCCCCAACTAAAGTATACTTTTGTCTCCCTGCTCCCAACTAAAGTATACTTTTGTCTCCCTGCTCCCAACTAAAGTATACTGTTGTCTCTCTGAGCCCAACTAACGTATACTTTTATCTCCCTGCTTCCAAGTAAAGTATACTTTAGTCTCTCTCCTCCCAACTAACGTATACTTTTGTCTCCCTGCTCCGAACTAAAGTATACTGTTGTCTCTCTGAGCCCAACTAACGTATACTTTTATCTCCCTGCTTCCAAGTAAAGTATACTTTAGTCTCTCTCCTCCCAACTAACGTATACTTTTGTCTCTCTGAGCCCAACTAACGTATACTTTTATCTCCCTGCTTCCAAGTAAAGTATACTTTAGTCTCTCTCCTCCCAACTAACATATACTTTTGTCTCTCTGAGCCCAACTAACGTATACTTTTATCTCCCTGCTTCCAAGTAAAGTATACTTTTATCTCTCTGCCCCAACTAACGTATATTTTTGTCTCCCTATGTCCAGCATGGGGTTGAGCCGCGCCCACTTTGAGAAGCAACCACCCAGCAACCTGAGAAAGAGCAACTTCTTCCACTTTGTGTTGGCGCTCTACGACCGTCAAGGTCAGCCCGTGGAGGTGGAGAGAACGACCTTCGTCGACTTTGTCGAGAAGGAGCAGGTAGGGGTACGTGCTTTCTTGTTTTCTTTACGGACTAACGTCACATCTACGACATACCCACATATCATGACGTCACATATTTATCTACGACATACCCACGTAATATGACGTCACATTTGATCTACAACATACGCACATAACATGACGTTACATATTTTCTCTACAACATACCCAAACATCAATATGGCATCATACACTTACATTTACAGTATACCTTCACAATAATATGACATCGTATACTTTATCTGATACATGCATACATGACAACATACATCACAACTTGAAAATACGTTGCACTTAAACCCCCTAAAGATGGCCTTTTAAAAGTGTTTACAAAATGAGATTTTGCTGGTGACGAGAGTACAATGGCCGCACGCCATTGCGAAACTCGTGATGACGTCACACTTGTCATTCCATAAATATGTCAAGGCAAGCGTAAACACACCGACTTGACATTTCTTGTAAAAACAACCTACACTGATGTTTTAATATATTAGCCATCGCTTGAAATTAACAAAAATGTAGCGTTAAATGTCTTGATTTGATGTAAATCAGTGCGTTGAGTGTGTTTTTGTATGTATGTGAATGATTGTGTGAGTTCGTGTGTGTGTGTGTGTGTGTGTTCCGGTTAGTCTCTATACGTGCAGGTGTTGTGTGTATGTATGTATGTGTGTGTGTGTGTGTGTGTGAAAGAGAGAGAGAAAAAGAGAGAAACAGAGAGTTACGGACGAGAGTGATGACCGTTTAAGACGCCCTCGCCCTGAAAATCACCAAGGCGCCTGTGCCCTGGGGCGCCGTTTAGCCCCGGCGTCTGGGGGCGCCAGTTTAAACGCTTCCAGGTTTGAACTGGGCTCATAAAGCAACTAATTGCCGGCGTTTATTAGATAAACGTGGGCTAATTGAATCACTTGTTACAGATCGATGGTGGCCTAGGAATCGATTGGTTTGAGCTTCTGTGCTTGGGGTGTGTTAGGGAGCTGTCTAAGGAGGTTTTTTTTTCTGATTCTGGTTCTTTGTAGAACTCTTCAGCTAACCTTGTGGGAGAAGATTAATTACAGTTGGGGATAGGACGACGGGTGTGTGAGAATGTGTGTGTGTGGGGGGGGGGGGTGAGTGCGGGTGTGGCTGGCGATGAGAGAAATGAATAGAGCTAAAAAAAAAGTTTGAACTCTAAATGGAAGCAACGACACACATAAAACACGCACAGATAAATACATACACGCATATATATATATATATATATATATATATATATATATATATATATATATATATATATATATATATATATATATATATATATATATATATATATATATATATATATATATAGCCTAAATAAATAACTAAATAAGTAAATATATATATATATATACATATATATATACATATATATATATATATATATATATATATATATATATATATATATATATATATATATATATATATATATATAATATATATATAATATATATATATATATGTGTGTGTTATTTTCATGTAAGAGCGGGTATGTGTGTGTTTTTGAAATTCTGCATGTGTGTATGTATGTATGTGTGTGTTGTCCATGTATGTCTGCGGACAAATGCACGAACCCGTAGACGCGTTGCATGTATTTTTAAACCACTTGTCACATGATCTCCTTTGTTTACAATGTGTTTATTGACGCCTTAGTCTCTACTGAGACTTTAAAAAAAAAAGTAACCAGCACAACATTTTTTCCGGACTGATTTCAATTTGGATATGTTTTAAAATGTGAGCACGTATAAATAATTACTTTGTCAAATATCAGTTTAATCTGATATTTTCACAAGCATCGTAGTTTTTCACACGTCTCAATGCATTTAAAAGATCGAAGCAAATATTGATTGGCATCCATATTACAGGAGAATGACGGCCAGAAGACAAACAATGGAATACATTACAGGGTCCAGCTTCTCTATGCTAATGGTACGTTCGGTTCTGGAATATGCTCCATTCCCCCTTTCTCTTCTAGAATACGTTGCCTCCATACTCATTTCTTTTTCTGGAAACTTCTCAATACTCTCTCTTTTCTGGAATACGCTGTCTACATACACCATTCTTTCTTGAAAACATTACCTTCATTCTTCCTTCTTTCCTGGATTAAATTTGAAACCCCTAACTTTTTCTAATGTAATTTAAACTCCCTGCCTTTCTGGAATACAAAGTGTTTATACGCCCTGTGTTCAGAGTTTCTTCCAGGCATCTTTTCGGCCCCCCCCCCCCCCGAAAATTTTTTACCACCCCCCCCCCCCCCCCGAACGAAATGAAATTTATATAATGTATATAAAAAATATATACTTTTAACAGTGTCCGCCCCCCCCCCCCCCGAAGAAAGTCTACCGCCCCCCCCCCCGAAAATTTCAAGTGCCCCCCCCCCCCCCCGGAGAAAAAAGTCTGGAAGAAACACTGCCTGTGTTTCTTGAAAACATCACCTTACTTCTTTTATTAATGTATTGATTCCCTCCTTTATTAATTTCAATAATTGTTTGAATTCATTAATTTCTTTAAATACACTGGCTTATTGGTCATTTAAACACAACATGCAAGTTGGTTTTAAATTTAAATCTACACTAGATATTGAATATTTTTAATTATATTGGGAAGTTATATTTGGAATTTTTTTAAAAATTATTACTACCGCTGTGTGTTTGTGTGTGTGTGTGTGTTGGTTGGGGGGGGGGGGAGGTTGCTGTGGTTGGTGGTTGATGTTGTTTTCCACCTGAAATAGTTACATTAAAGTTAATATTCTAATTATTCACTCCTCTAAACAAAAAACTTTTGTCAGATTAATATTGCAATTACGGTTTTAGCTGTTCAAAAATAATAGCAGCTTGAGAGAGTAACAGTGTCGATTGTTTACGTTGAACTACAACAACTCAACCTCCACCACTCATCCCCCCCCCAGTCCCACTTTCTAAAATGAGTGGCTAGGGTCCAGCCTGTTATTACCCTCAAAGGTTCCGTGGCTCGTCTTTAGAGAGCAATATCTTGTAGAACAAAAGGACAAACAGTGCAGCTGTCTGTAATGCGAGGGGTGGGGATCAGGGTGGGGGGTTAGGGTGGGGGCTTTGACCAGCCAGGGAGACTGGCGATCCCTTCTTTATTTCTTAAACTTGGCCAGCAGACACGCCCCCTATTTGGACCAGTAATTGCTAATGGGTTTAATGGCATTGGTGTGTTTGGTACCCAGGTTGAGAGGTCTAGAATTGAAATAAAAATACAAAAGGAACGGAGAGTTATATATAAGAAAAAAATATCTAAATATAGATCTGTTAAGAATAGTAGTAAAGAAATATTTTCTATGGAAGCCTGGAACTAAACAATACTGAACATATATTAATCACGAGAACATTCCAAGTATAATCTAAACACTATTTAAAAAGTTACACTACATGTCTATAATAATAACTTTTCCTATATTGTATCAGGCCTTCGTCAGGAACAAGATATGTACATACGTCTTATAGACTCTGTAACTAAACAGGTGAGTAGATATAACATACAAGAATAATTTAGTTAGGCCTATATGGTATGCACATACATACTGTATACAGCTGTGAAATGCATATACACAAGTACAACAGCGGCTTTATGATCTATATTTGTAAAGCAAAAAAAAAAACTCCACTAGTAATTATGATACTAATCATCACATCCATAGGATATCTGTGTACACGTGTAATTATGTTACTCACTCTCTCGCTCACAGGCTATTGTGTACGAAGGTCAAGACAAAAACCCAGAAATGTGCCGAGTTCTACTCACACATGAAATCATGTGCAGGTATGTTCAAAGTGTTAGCTTACCTTTCTTTAACCCACGCATACCCCCAACCCAATCTTTGATTACTTTAATTAGAGTAGCTAATTAAGACAAACATAACCGCAGATGTTACTCCATAGTCCATCACTAGTGACCTTCAACCCCACCTTAGTGACCTTGTCCCCCCTTTAGTAACCCTGACCCCACCTTGACCCCATATATTTGTTTACTCCCCAGTCGGTGCTGTGAAAAAAAAAGCTGCGGCAACCGGAACGAAACGCCGTCAGATCCGGTGATCATCGACAGGTAAGTGACGTCACTCGTCACGTGACAGCTGTTGTATTTTAAGTAGTGTATCGATTTCAATCAATACTAATACGTCATCATTATCTACTCACTCAAAAATATTTTTAGTTAGTTATCTTTATTTCACATTTATTTGAAGTGTTTTTTTTTTTTTTTTTTACAACGCTGTTGGTAAGGTAGAATGATGGTTTTAACGGTTTTCTGTGTAAGGATCAGGGTAAAGATCAGGAACAGGGTCGGGATAATGTTTACAATCACGGCTAGGATAGCAATACTACTTTTACTAGCAAAACATTACTTCTTTATGACTTACAATATCCCACTACTGGACTACCCACAAATAAAACGTTTACTAGTACAACTGTAATTATAAGAAGTAATTAGTATACAGTGCATATACACTGAAGTACAGTCCTTGTGTTGTTTATACGTATGTTCTTTTATAACAGTTATTGTCGATAAGGTTCAAGTACTTTAAACTTGACTTAAATATAAACCACATACAGACGTCAATGTGTCACTTCTCGTCCCAAACATAACTCCCTCGGTGGTGCTATTTCGGTTTGAGAAACAACAGCAGCACCAGATATTGAAGGAAATGAGAATCATTTATAAAGTCCCATTACCCAAATGAGAAAATGCGTCATAGGTTGAGTGTAATTGACATTGTTAATTAGCGCGTGGCAGGAGAGATCACAGGCATGTTTTAACAACGGGATAATTTGATCGTGTTAATTTTTTAAAAACATTTTAAGTCGTGCATTACAAGAGTTTTTTTTTTTTTACCTGGGTGGGGTTGGGGGTGAGAGAAATAGGGGTGGGGGTAAGAAAACAACTATTGGAATGACGTGGGAGTTGGGGTGGGGATGGTGGAAATGTGGGGGTGGGTGAGTATAAAAATGGGAAGGAGTTTTTCTGAAATCAATTTAAAATTTAAGTACGTGCACGCCAGGTTTAAAACGTCTTGATTATTCTGACGGCGGTGAAAGCCAACTTGAACCGGGGTTTAAACAACCCGCAGACCGTGACGGGACCGGTAACTAATCAGGCGTGGCGTAAACTGTTTCTACGGCTGGGCCAGAGTTGGAAACACTTCGATGCTGGTGGGAGGGAGGGGAGGGGGGTCCGGGAGGGGAGGGGGGTGGGATAGTTGACACGTGAAGAGTTTATGTAAGAAATGTTAAAGCGAAATGTGAGGCGTGGGTGAAATATCGGGGAGAAGTCAGAGCTAATATGGAGCTAAGACGGAGGAGCTAAAACAAACTTCTTCATTCCTCAATATCACTGTATCAATAACCTGTTTTTACTTTACTTTTCTTCTGGAAACATCCAATATTGAAGTGTGTTGGCTAACCTTCCCACTACCAAAGTGTGTTGGCTTCAAACTATACGAGTGTGTGTGCTAAGCTTCACACTACTGGAGTGTGTTGGCTAACCTTCACACTACTGGAGTGTGTTGGCTAACCTTCACACTACTGGAGTGTGTTGGCTAACCTTCACACTATTCTATTGGAGTCTTTAAAATCGATGCCAACATTTGGCCCATGAAATTTTGATGATCACCTCCTCCCTCCCCTCCCCCAGTTGTTCTGGTTAAGGCTGTGAACGTACGCTACAAAGTGTGGCCACGGACAGCTGGCGATCTGTAGGCTTGATACGGGGGTCAGTTTAAGGGTCAGTTTAGGGGTCAGTTTAGGGGTCGAGGGTAATCGTCGGGATTGTGGGGGTGGTAACATGGTAGGGTTATGGCTTGGTATTATTGTAGGATGTTTAGATCAGACAGGATGGGATTGTATGATGTTGGGATTGTGGGTTGATAGCGTAGTGGTATAGGATGTTGGGATTGTATGGGGTGGTGGGTGTAGTGGAATGGTGGGATGTTGGGATCGTATAGGGTGGTGGGTGTAGTGGAATGGTGGGATGTTGGGATCGTATAGGGTGGTGGGTGTAGTGGCATAGTTGGATGTTTGGATCGTATAGGGTGGTGGGTGTAGTGGAATGGTGGGATGTTGGGATCGTATAGGGTGGTGGGTGTAGTGGCATAGTTGGATGTTTGGATCGTATAGGGTGGTGGGTGTAGTGGAATGGTGGGATGTTGGGATCGTATAGGGTGGTGGGTGTAGTGGCATAGTTGGATGTTTGGATCGTATAGGGTGGTGGGTGTAGTGGAATGGTGGGATGTTGGGATCGTATAGGGTGGTGGGTGTAGTGGCATAGTAGGATGTTGGGATTATATGGGTTGGTGGGTGTAGTGGCATAGTTGGATGTTTGGATCGTATGGGGTGGTGGGTGTAGTGGCATAGTTGGATGTTTGGATCGAGAGTAACAAGATGGACGGGTGATGGGATTGTGAGGTTGTGGGGTCGTGGGTGGTACGCCTACTCCCGAATTCACCCCGCACCCTCTAGATTGACGAGCGCTAGATTAAAAGTTGGAACCGAGAGATCAAATATTACGAAACAATGAGTCTCGTTGTGGAGTCACGCGCGGTCTCCATATTGTCCAACAAAGACCTTTGTTTCTCCCCCAACATTCCCCGCTGACGCCCCAACAATTGTCATTATGAGATGTAATTTTTCCTGCTTTCATGGAGCTCTAGCATGGAGTTCTGGCATGGGGTTCTATCTGCAAAAAAAACACGCTCACTGTAAGCACGCAGATCTCTGCTATTCAATGCACATGCGGGGATGGAACAGTAATTATGTCATGTATTTAGGACATAGCAGACCTCTCGTCCAAGAGTTGCAAGAATGCCAAGTTCTGCTACGTGGTTGGGTTTAATGGGAAGCAAGAATATTAGAATATATATATATATATATATATATATATATATATATATATATATATATATATATATATATATATATATATATATATATATATATATATATATATATATATATATATATATATATTTATTTATTTATTTATATATATACGAATGTGTATATTCTTAGATGAAATCAAACAATAGAATATTGTGATTACTTCTGATGTGGATGGGCCTAGAGATGCTCTAGATGCACACTATCCTGCGGATGTCTACAACCCACTGAGGGACGTTCTCTGAAAGGGCAGCCAATCGCTGTGGTCGTAGGTGTTAGCACGTGTAACCGCATCCCGTGTTTTTCCACTGCTCACACTGCCCGTACGTACATGGCACCGCAGCCGTGCGCTTTTTGAGAAGGTGGCGCGAATGTTGTTCGAACGTCGAACGTACGATCCATTAGCTCGCCAAGCGGCACCTTGACGGGCTGATTATCCAATCAGGTGTTCTCCCCGGAGGCCACGTGATCAGAGGAGCAAGTGAGTGATGATAGCGGGTCATTCACACAGTTGCTCAAACACAAATACCGTCAGCGTACGTGTAGATACACGCCAGCGCGCAAGGAGAATGAAAGGGGGGGGGGGGACGTCCTCACCCCTGGGATCGTTTGATCTAACCGTCAGATAATGTTTGACAAATTTCATTGTCAGTCTCATTCTAGGACAGCGTAGATATTTTGTAAATCCAAAGATGGTCATTTTACCTTGTCATACAATTTGGTCAGTATGTTTCGTTAAAGTACCTATTTAGGCTATTTCTCCTACCGTTTATTTTTGTTTTATTTTATCCGTGTTTTTTTTTTTACTAAAGTAATGTAGGCACGATGGCAGATTTGGACCTTTATATATTAGGAAGTTAACCATTTCATTTGATAAAATATGTACAAATCAAACCTCGTCTGCAGATGTACCCTTAGACAAGACACCAAATGTGTGTGTGTGTGTGGGGGGGGGGGCGGGGGGTAATCCCCGGTTGTTGTTGTATAACAAAATCCAGGCTGTAAGCCATTTCTACCTAGAAGCATATAGGTCAAGTTTACACTACAAACTTTGACACAACTATAGTAGATCACCACTTCCTATTTCCTAACTTTTTGAACACAATGAAATATTTAGTGTCTAGAAAAGAAAATGTTGAGGGTAGGGATATGGGGGTGGACACGTAGAGAATTCTTTATTTACATTAGAGCCCGACTCAGCCCCTACTCTTTCATGTTTGCCGAAAGTTTGAAAAAAAACCAGTCGGTTGCGGCACCGTATTGATCGCTTCCATCCTGCAGGTCTAGCCGGGCTGGGGTGATGACAACACACCTACCCGAATGGCTGGCACACATTAGCTCACCAATAGCTCCGGCATGGCCACCGGCGTTTGTTTGGTCGGGGCCGGTAGACCCACGGGCGGGGAGGGGACGGGCCTGGCACCGAAATGTCAACCCTGACGAGTTGTTTGAGTATTCGTTTTGCGGCTAACCGTTTCCTGGTTGGTACAGCTAACCGTTTCCTGGTTGGTGTGTTTAACCGTTTCCTGGTTGGTGCGGCTAACCTTTTCCTGGATGGTGTGGCTAACAGTTTCCTGGATGGTGCGGCTAACCGTTTCCTGGTTGTACAGCTAACCGTTTCCTGGATGGTGTGGCTAACCGTTTCCTGGTTGTACAGCTAACCGTTTCCTGGATGGTACGGCTAACCGTTTCCTGGATGGTGCGGCTAACCGTTTCCTGGATGGTGTGGTTAACCGTTTCCTGGATGGTGCGGCTAACAGTTTCCTGGATGGTGCGGCTAACCGTTTCCTGGATGGTGCGGCTAACCGTTTCCTGGATGGTGTGGTTAACCGTTTCCTGGATGGTACAGCTAACCGTTTCCTGGTTGCTACAGCTAACCGTTTCCTGGCTGCTACAGCTAACCGTTTCCTGGATGGTACAGCTAACCGTTTCCTGGTTGGTGCGGCAGAAGCGGTTTGTGGCAAAATACAGAAAGATCGAGTTCGAAACTTTGTTTTTATTGCAGCGGTTGTACAACTCAATCGTTATGCACACTCAAATACCCACACCATACATATATACATATATATATATATATATACATATATATATATATATATATATATATATATATATATATATATATATATATATATATATATATATATATATATATATATAATCGGTGTGTCTGTC